CCCGGGAGCAGGACGAGCCCTCCGCGCTGCCCGGCTCTGATTTATGGTCTCATTTCGCAGGGAACGCGCCTCCACTCCTCTCTATTTGTCATTTAAACGCTGCTCCGCTTGAAGGAGGTGCCGTAGGGGATGGGTTTGGGGTCGCGTCCAGCCTCTTAACCGCCTTAAAATGGTTAATCTCAATGTTTTTAACCTGTAAGGTCACTTTTCTCTGCAATTAGAGCGGTGGAAAGTCAGTCCCTAAGGCGGGAGGTGGTGTGTGATGCCTGAGGTCTCTGGCTGTAAAGCATCCTGACATCTTATCTCTGTTATTATTATTTTTATTGCATTAAGCTGCCTACCTGCTTAACGCCACGCGATTCTTGAATTTTAAATTACTTTCCCTTGCTTTATCTGTCTCTTTGCCAAAAACAAATATAAATTATATAGTTCCTGACTTCTCGTGGAAGAACTTTCCAGCCGTCTGTCCCATGCTTCCAATGCTGATGTTTTTTAAACCAAGAGGGATGTGTGTTTCAGCCGTGACACACTGTCGGGCAGAAAACAGGCAATGTTTATTTTGCTCCCGCCTCGTAACTGTGTAAAGGCTTGGTGAAAGGGTAAATGTGATGGCTTTATGTAGCTTTTTCTTTTTAATTATTATTTTACTGCTTTCCCCCACTGCCTTGCTGCCTCTGGGAAGGAGCGGTCGCGCCGAGCCTGTGGCTGTAAAGCTGTCAGCTCTGAAGGGCTGTTTACTCAGCGAGCTGTATCTTTCACACATGCACCAGAAATACAATTTACCAACCCAAACACAGCCCCGGTCACCGGGGTGACGGGCAGCGTGGACGCTTTGCTCCTCTGGGGTTTTATCCTGCGTGGCCCGGCGTTTTCCTTGAACAAAGCAGGTAGTCCTGGGGTGCTGGCGCTCCCAGCCGAGCTGTGGGGAGCCCGTTCGCTTTTCTCCTCATCTCCCCCGACCCGGGTGTTTTGACAGTCACGATTTATGGGATGTACAGCCTGCCCGGAGCTGCTTTAAGGAGAAAAAGTGCTTTTGTGGTAGCGGTTGCTGCGGGCGACGGGCAGCTCCTTCTATATTCCAAAAATTCGCAGCGAACCTTTCCCGGCACAATTTCTTAACGCTTTTCTGTTGAACTTGATATTATTTGCCTTAATTACAGCCAGCATGCTTTTGTTCCACCAAATTAAAGTAGGTGTCGAGAGCATGAGTCAAACACATTGAAACCAAGCCCTGCTTTTTCGGAGCAGCTGCAAGCCTATCTTGTGGGGAGGACTTGGTAATGGAGTGATTAAAAAGAAATAAATATTTTTGACCTGTATTCCCCTTTCCATAAGAAGAGGGAAACCTCTGACTGGCTTGGTCTCCATCCCAGAAAATCCTCAGGCTTGTGGGGAGACCCATGACTGTTGTTGAAAGCTGGGCTCGGATAGAAGGTGGGATCCACTGAGTTACCTATCATGTTAAAAGGTGTTTTTTTTCTTCCTCCTCAAGGGGTAGGAAGTGAGATGGGAACTGCTGCGGTGTGGAGGGATTAGTAACTCACCCGAGGATGAGCGGGATGTGGCTTTGTCGCCTGGATTAGTGTGATTTACACCCTTAAGCCGCTCCAAGAGCTCGTAAACAGCCGTGCCCGTGTGTGCAAGGTGAAGTGTGGGCGGGCAAGCTCGGGTACACCACGGGAAGTACCTTGAGGGGCTGGTTTTTGCCATCCTTCGTGCAATCTTAGTGATTTCTCATCCTTTTTCTCTAGTTTTCATCCTTTTTGCTCCCAAACTCTGTGTTCTTTGCCCCCAAACCCCGACATAGTAGCAGTGGGGTTTGGGCTGGTCCCCCTGTGTGCCCCCTCTGCTGGATCGCTGGGCTGCTCTGGTGCTAAAATTCTTAGGTTTTACCCCAAAACTGAGGAGGGGATGGAAAAAAGCCTTGCAAGGAGAGGCCTGACTGCAGGGCAAGTCCCACCAGTGCTTTCATTATCTCAAGGTGTGCTGTAAGCCCATAAACGAGGCTCCTGCTTACTTTGGCTTGCTGGTGTGCCAGAGGAATAAGGCAGCTGTGCTCTGACTTCAGGTGATGTCACTTGAGGATTTTAACTGTCAGAGCTTAAAAATACCCTGGCTTGTTTAAAGACTGCTTCTGCAGATGTGGAAATGGGGAAGCAAAGCAGTGGATTGTGAGTGCACAGCCACGTCAGGCTCCAGCATCTCATAAATCCCCCTCTGCCTGTCCCACAGCAGAACTGCTCTGCCTGACAGGCCTCAGGTGTACCATGAGCAGGGCATTAATTGCTGGGTGCTCAACATGAGGCGCTGCCATGAGCTGCAGACCAACAAAATTAGTGCCAAAAAACTAATGGGGAAACGTGATGATTAGTTAGTTTTGTGAATAAAGCTGTTTTCTGATGCCATGGTACAGTCCTGTACGGTGTTGGTGTGACTGGGTGTGTGTACAGGAGCAGCTGCTGTGATTTCAGGTTGTTTGCAGGGCTGGGTGTGAGGAGCTGTGGCTCAGGGGCTGCTCTCTGGGTGTTTGTGTGTGCACATGGAATGAGCTGTATTGAGAATGTTCTCTGTGAGCTGTTTCTGATTCTGTGTGTAAAAGGGCATTGAGCTTCACCTGGATTTCCTATATCACCCACCAAACCCACTCTTCACACCTGCTCCAAGAGCTCCTTTACCTCCTTTGTTTCTGCCAGTCTTTGAGCCTGTGGTGGAACCTCCTGCTCTGCATCTTCCTCATTCCCATGTCCACAGATGTGACTCTGGAGGGGTTTCATTGCAATGCTGTGGTCTTGGCACACAGTCTTATCCAAAATGACATGGGAATGTGGTGAACCTGTTGGTGAGAATTCAAACTTTGGGTTTAGTACCAGAAACCCTTGGATTGAGCAGGTTTTGACTCACAAACCTGCTGGGATTGATTATCTCAGGTAATGGAATCGCTTTAATTGGTGACTTGGAAATTGAATGTCTTTTGTTAGGCAACATCTCATTAGTGTAAATTAATTGATACTGTAAACTTGCCCTTTGTACACAGAGTCAGGTTTTTGTCTCCTGCCTTGCTTATGAGCTGCTGAGTAGTGAGTGGCTCCCTTGAGCTGGCTCCTGCCCCTGCCTCCTCCCTGCTGTGGTCTGCTGTCAGTTCTCTGGTTTTTGGTGTTTCAGTGGGCTGGGGAGTTGGTTTCACTTGCTATCTGCAGCTGGGGTGAGACTGAGCTAAAAACCTTGTTTCGAGTGGAACTGCTCAATTTCCTGGAAATTTCCTCCTTAATTGAGAATTTGCAGCTTGCCTTGCAATCCTGACTCTCAAGCTGGTACTTGGGTACCAAACTGTGTTCTCTGTGCACTATCTTTGCTATTTTGACACATTTTGTTAATTTGGACCTATTTTGTTGTTTGGGCTGGTACTTGGTTGGTTCTCCAGGTGTTTTCCTACTCACTTTCTGCTCTCCTGGAGGCCTCCCTGAGCAAACCCTGCTGTTGTGTGTCCCCTTGTCCTGCATTATTTGCTCTGGGATGGTGTTTGTCTTTGACAAAGTCAGCAAAAACCCCTTTGGCTAGTGCTTGGTCTCCGACTATGCTGGCCCAAGAATTTCTAGACTAGATAATTTCCTGTGTGCGTACATGTTCACTTTTTTCAGTTGAGTGTTCTTCCAGTGATTTCCTTGGTAGATGGCTCAGTACAGCTTCCAGTGTGTCAGAGTTTTCCACTTGTGTTCCCTGGCTCGCTTCTCCCTCTCTGCTGGGGATGATGATTCTCAGTGACAGCCACCACTCAGCCCAGTGAGGGATTGAGCCTTGTACACCCACACCACCTGCCATTTCCATTAAGCCCAAACTCATTCTTTCTATGTGAGAAATATCTGCTGTCTTTCAACAGGAGGGAAAACAATCACGTAAGGTGGGTTGTTTTCCCATTTTCCATACCTATGAGATGTCTTGGAGCTCTTCTAGCCAGGTGGGACTCAATTTTTTTTCTTTTTCCCCCCTTTTTTCCCCCTCCCCAGCTGCTTGGGCGCAGTTTCACGTTACAGCTCCCTCTGAGGGCTGGCTGCTGCAGGAGGTGGCAGGTACATTCCTGCCTCTTCCCTGCTGCGGGAATCCAGCGCTGGAGCAGCCCCAGGGGAGTGACTCCAGCTAACCCTTCAACAAAAAAAACCAAAAGTATCCAAGCCCCAAACTTTCCTGGATCTTGCCCCGCAGTTAGAGTTGCTAAATCTTCCACTTGGATGACTGGGAAGGCCCTGAGGGGCTGGAGGGGGGATGGCCCCTTTTGGCAGCACTGGCTTCCAAATTGGCTTTGCTGTCTCCTGATCCTGTGTGCTCGCTCTGCTGCTCAGCCAAGGGTGGGTGCCTTCCGAGAGGGAGGGGATCTGGCCAGCTCCCTCCATCTCCTGCCTCTGAAAATGCCCATTTGAACCAGTCCAGCTCACAGAAACGGCATGGAAAAAGGATAAAATAATTCCCTGAAGCTCAGAGTGAGCAAGCCCAGCTTGGCTGGGATGTTGCCATCAGCTTGGCAGCAGGAGGGAGCTGGGGCAGGGAAGGAGAAGGAGACTGAGAGCATCCCTTTGGCATGGCTGAGCTGAGAGGTGAAACCACACCCTCGGCCTCACCTGTCTCTCTGATCACGTCTGTGATTTATACCCTGGGTTCTGCTGTTTAGCTTTCCCCACAGACTCCAACCATTGGATCTGATAATGAACCAAGTGGTTGAGTCTTATTTGTTTAATTCAAAGAGCAGTGTAATGCTTCCTTCCTTGCAGTCTGTGGAGTCTCTGCCTTGCAGCCTGTGGTTTTCTTTGCAGTAAACCTATAAAATACCAAGACAAGGACTAAAAGGCTTGAGCTGTGAGCAGAGGGGAGCTCTGGGGAGCTTCTTGGCTCCCCCTTAATCTTAGACGAAGAACAGCCAGATCCTGAATGTCTCTGTAATGGCTCTGGGGCATCTGCTGAAGCACCAAAGTACAGACATGCTGGTGGTGTTCAACCTCCTGGAGTTGCTGTTATATTTTCTGTAGACACCTTCTAGCTGGAGATGTTCCTGCAGGGGGATGGGATGGCACCAGGGGGTTTTGTTTCATCGTCTCGAGTGAGTTGAAGAAACCATTTATGGTTTCTTTCTGGGTAAAAGGCCTCACTCTAAAGAATCTTGCAATAAATTAATCTCTTTTTCCTTGCCGGTTTGGATGGTAAGGACCCAGGTGACTGTTCTTCTCCTGGGGAACAAAAACAATGGAAAGGGGACAGTTCATGTGGCCCCTTCTGAAACAAACAGTGATTGTTTGGAGTAGAAATGCCCAGCTTGCTTCCAGACCAATCCACTTGAAGTTACTGCAGACAGGTGGTATGTTTTCAGTTTTTAATTTCTTTTTTCTTTTTTTTTCCTTGCTTGTTGTTAGTGGAGAGCTGATAGATCGGCCCAAATAAGGCCATGAGCAAGGCTGGCCATTTCCAGGAGGATCCACAGACAGTCAGTGCATGACTTGTTGCCTTTATCTCTGAGATCAGGAGATTCCTTTGCAGTGATGGATTAATCCACCCTTGAGTGAATAATATAACTGAGAACAAGTAGGAGCCAGCGCTCCAAACAGATTTGTTCAGTACGTGTGTACCTCCCCTCCCCCTCTGAAAAGCATCTTTCTTCACCGTTTCATTCAGCCTGTTGAAACCTCACAGCAACCTGTGTCTGCCCCAGCCCCCAGCCCTGCCAGGATGGGGCTGTGCCAAAGGCCTGTGCTCCCAGGTGCAGGGAAGATAAACCAGGATGGAGAGAAGGAGCCTGTGGGCTGCTGGGCTGTGATGTCACCTGTCTGCTGTGGCCATGACATCACCTGTCTGCACGTCCTGCCTGTGGGTGGGAGTGTTGCTGCTGGCACCTGATTGGGGTGA